ATATATATATATATAATATATGTGTACATATATATTTTTACGTGTATTTTTTGTTTGTTTTCCATATATATATATAGCAGATAAATACAAATATGTATGTATCTGCATACGTTTTTTTTACCTATGTATATATTTATATCAATATATCTATATAATATGTACGTACACAAATAAATATATATCTGTCCATTTTTTTCTTATGTATGTCTGTAATGTATCTATATCTTCGTTAATATGTATAATCTACATATTTTTTCCCCCGCATATTATTTATTGTATATGTCGGAGTTGACTTTAAAATTCAATTTTCTATAAAACGGAGCTAGTTGACTTTAAAATCAATTAGTTGTATATTAAAGTCAACTGAATTTTATAGTCAATTCTGATATATATATATATATATATATATATACGTATACTTAGGAGTTCCAGATTATCAAAATGTTTCACGATGATGAAGTTCCACTTCGTTCAGCTAAAAAGATGGTTCGTCAGTTACGAGCTGCTAGTGATCGTCTTTGTCGGAATGATTTTTTGTCTTCAATGTACACTACGGATTTAAACGATGCTGAGTAAGTTAATAAATTCAGATTAATTCTTTAATTTTTTTTTTGAATATAAAGAATGATTGTCGATTATACGGATAGCACTGATGATAAAAATGATGAATCAGATAGTCGTATGCTGCTAGATCAATATGATGCATTATATGATCGTATGGTGTTAGAAGAAAATGATGACGAAGTAGAAAATTCTTCAGTTGTCTATAGTGATGCAGTTGTTGATGCACCTGTCGATGATTCATATTTAAACAACAGTAATGATACAAACTCAAACGACGATGAAAATAATTCTGCAGCTAATGATGTTACGCATGGTCCACCTGGTAAAAAAGATATTGCAACTGCTCTTGCTCTATTCCGACATCGACACAAATTATCCAAATCCTGTATAAATGATTTATGCGATTTGTTACGTTTATTTGGAGTGATTAATGTACCATCTGATTTTCGTTCAATTGAGAAAATTCTTATGAAAAACGAAGAAAATATTTTACAGGGTCAAAGTTATATTGTTTGTTCACAATGTGGTAATAAAGGCACTAGCTTAACAAACTGTGACAGTGTTCAATGTAAATCCAACACTGGTTTCATGTCAACACCTACAACACTATGCACATTTAAACTTTTTCCACAAATAAAATCGATTCTTGAGCGACATAATACTATTCCTGAACCAGATGGTACAACCTCTGCTACATCTGATATTCAAGAAGGTGAAGTATGCCGTAGCATTCTCCTTCATGAACGGATTATAGACTCAAGTAAACAAATTATCACTATGTTACTAAACAGCGATGGAATAATCTTGAAGAAGTTCAGCCGTTCGATTTGGATTATTTGTATGGTGATTAATGAATTACCTCGTGCAATACGATTTGATATTCGGAATGTTATAATTTGTTCTATTTCTATGGGTGGAACTAAACCTAAAAAAAAACATTTTCAAAATTTTATTGAGGATTGGGTGGCAGAACTGCAACAGTTAGAGCTAGGTTTTTATGTATCACCTCCAAATTTAGACGGAAAATTTATTAAAGTGTATGCTTTCTTAATTGCAGCAGCCCTTGACAAGCCGGCACAGGCATTGTTGATGAATCTCAATGATCCAACCGGCTATTATAGTTGTGCTCGCTGTACGATTAGAGGTAATCTATAAAACTTTTCATGATCACGTAAAATATGTAGTATATGATTGTCATACTATAGATTGTGATTATAACTGTCCCATTGAAGAACTTCCGCAGGCTATATAAGGATATCTTGAGATCTCCTAGAAACAAATCAATTTTCGTCAAGAATTTTAATATTGAGATAAATGTATGAAAATTTGGCTCATCTCCAGATCTTTTAGAAATGATATGAGTTTTTGATAATACTTCTTTTTCAATAAAAATTTGGATAATTTCTGCAATTAATACCTTTAAAGATGCAGCGTTTTTAAAAAATATTTTTCGTTTTTTCCCAGTTTGTGCTTTTTTGATTGAGGGATCCAAAACTTTTTCTCGAAACTCATTCTGTATATACAATTTTTGTTTGAAAGAGAATGCCACGGCGTATGATACGGAAGAGTGTCTTTTTTTTAATTAATCTTTTTTCAAGTGTATAACTAACCACTACTATAAATTAACACTGAGTCTTGCACAATTTCTGAGATCTTCAACTAACCACTTTTTTTACAATAAAAAGTGAGAACTTTAAAAAAATTCTGTTATACACTTCGTGGCGACATGCTCTTGAAAGAAATTCACTAAATGGCATGAATCTGAATAGAGAATCTTTACTGTTCAAATGTGCTGTCTGTAATCCTTGTTTGCTGAATATCTTGGTGGAACCTCATGCTATATAACTGAAACTTTTACCATAACTTCTCCACTACAGTCCCAAGAAATCCTGGAAATTTCATACTATTTGAATGTATCTGGGCTGAGATAGGCTTAGGAGAAAAAAGCCCTAATAACAGTGAGATTGATGTCAATTTTACAACTTTGTACAGCCAGTACGTCTCATATATTTACCTATTCACACATGTGTAGATTATCTTTAGTTTGATTTTACCGTTTAGGAAACTCGGTAGCCACTAGAAATGGTACCACACGGATTTTCATAAGAAAAAAAAATGAAAATAATAAGAATCGAAGTAATCAACTGTATGATGAACATATGGTTCAATTATTAAAAGTAAATAAACTTTCCAATAGATATGGAAGAAAGCATTTCTTGTTTGATTAGAGAAAATCAAAGAAGAAGTCAAATGATATAGATCCTGCTTGTGGTCAGCAGGGTCCTTGTGTTTTGCGAGATCTATCATATTTTAATATTGGTCCATCATTCACCTCAGATTCACTTCACAATGTGTATTCAGGAACATTTGTAAGAATGCATACCTCTGTATACCTACATATTCCTCCCAACTTATTATTTTTATTTGATAGAAACGTTTACTGGAAATCTGGTTTAAGAGTCGTGGTGCTGCATACTCAATTAATAAAGATATACAATTGATTGAAGCTAAATTGGACTCAATTCGATATCCTTCGACCACATACCATTTACCATCCCAGCTACGGTTCTATCCAACATTCAAAGGAAACGAATTCAGACTAACACTGTTGTTTGGCTATCAGTAAGTTATTCAATCTTTAATGCGAGTAACGAATTTCTGTCTCTGGTGAGACTAATACACCTATAATATATTAACCAGAAAATTATTCAGGTAAACTTTTTTTTTGAATATAGCTCTTTGGAAAAAGTCGTTAGAATGAAGACATTAGGTATTGTATAACTTACAGCCTTACCATTCTATAGTCAGGACAAAGGTCTATATATATATAATGTTCAGTGTGTGTGTGCATGTGTGTCTCTGCCTGCGCCAGGTCCAAGTTTAAAGGTCGAAGACGAACGATCAAAATGGCTATAGGGGCTACTATGTTGAGACATCTAGAGATCCTTAAGAGTTATTATATGAACATACGCATAGGTTCACAGAAGCTATTATATGGAGATACACACATACCTTAAGAGCTGATGTATGAAGGTATCTATAAGTCGTCAAGAGCTAGTATAAGAAGGTACCCATAATTTTCAAGAGCTACTATATGAAGGTACCTATAGGTTCTAGAGAGCTATTATATGGAGGTGCCCATAGGTCCTCAAGGGAGCAAGACAGTAAGAGTATAAAGTTATAAAGCCTAAGGCTACATGGACTATGAAAATATATGCGGTATAAGAGTATGAGACCGTATGGCTCTCCGTCTATGTACATAGTATCGAGTGTATGTGTGTCTGTTACCGAATGGAAAGTTGAGCATCTGAGGTCATACGTTAAAGGGGAAAATAGCCGTGAAGTATGCACGGGCTCTCACTAGTTTATAGATAATTACCGGTTCAATATCAACATAAATATTGGCTATATCATAGATGTTGCGAAGCGAGAACAATGAGAGTGTGTAAGGAAAGTATTTTGAGTTCTGAAAAAATGCGCACATACAATTTCTCAAAAATGACAATATGTTGACGACTACATTTCGTGATAGAATCTGTTTTGATAAGAAATACCATTTGGTCTGGGAAAGAATATAGATTTTTGTTAAAGTAAAAGTGTACATCTCACAATCGACGCAACACTATTCAGCATAGAGGCTCGTTCCAATGACAAAAAATATATCTTTTTTATATAGATTTTTCGAACCAGTTTTACCTACACGATATTTCCAACATTTGAAACTTTTGGCCTTTGCAATGAACTTAGCAGAATCGTCTGTTCTACATCAAGACACAATTGAAACAATCGACTTCTTACTTGATGAATTTGATCATTTGTTCTCATTATTGTATCCAGTAAGTACAAAACGTGAGGTATATATCCATATCACCAAAAAGCTTAAAATATAGTTCACACTAGAATATTTCGTCTAAACCATACCTCACATAGAAACTGACTCAGTTGAGATTGAGATGATACTCAAGTGATCTCATAAGATTTTCAGCTGAATTAGTTTATTTCAATGCGTTTTAATCTAAACTGAATCTCATATGGCCACATGATATAAGATATATATATATATGTGACATACATTTACGCATAATAGTTTATTTCAAATCTCCAAAAATCTTATAGCATTGCTACCATTTATTCAAAGTGCATGTGCAGCTATGGAATCTCTAAGAAACTGAGCAAACATCGAAATTACTGATGTTTTACAAATTATTCACATAAAGTACTGTCAAACAACTGCTATAGTCATGTCCTATTCATATGTCAGGCTTTTTCATATTTTAATCGATTTAAAGCTACACAAAGTGTACGCTGCCTCAAGAGACTAGGTACCGTTTGTAAATGATCTGCTCAGCGAAGAAGAAAAGGAGAAATAAATTAAATGCTGTTTTTTTTAGTGATGTGCCTTTTTCTTCGTTGCTACCCTAAAAATAGCAACTGCCAACTCTTAATAACGTAGCATACTTATGTAGCAAAAGTCTACGCTTTTTTTGTTTAAAATTTTGTTTTCTCACATAACACTGAGATGCATATTAGAAAATATATCCATCCCAAAGATGTCTATCACCATTTCAAACTTTGACTGTTAGTCAAAGATTATGAGAAGATAAAGCGCCTAGGCTTTAGATAAAACACAACTACAGACAGCCTCTGTCGTGACACTTCCATGCTATAATGAATTTAAAAGAAGTAGTCATTGTGGTGATGTCGCACCTTAATTTCAAAAAGTAATTCGAGATCTACTCATAAGAGTACTAAAAGTGCCTTGGTTACCATTATATGAGATTAATTTTGCCGCAATGTATAACAGTTACAAGCGCTAAAAACAAGCCCTTCATTAGCTGATGCAGCTTTGCAAGGCTCCAACCAGATGAATCTGGTACTTGAATCCGTGGATGTTGCGGCGAAAATCTGGAGGAACAACAGCGTTTCCAGCTGGACAACGATGAATAATTTTAGGGAATTTGGAAGAAACCTTATGGTTACTTTCGGTTGTTGGCCTTGCTAGATTTTGCTTGGCTGAGGCTGACACCAAGTGCACTGCGTTTTGTTAGGATATTCCAAGAAAAGATTGGCAATATCGCAACTGTGTTGTTGAAATATTTGACACGTAAAATTTAACCTATAAAGAATCTGTTCCTCATGCGCTTCTATGGCCACCTTATTGGCTGAACAACAACAGCAACACCAGTTCCTCTGGGAAACCTTTGCACATTGCTGCTCTGATTGCTTTGATGAGAAGTAACGTTATCTGCAGTAATACGGCTATACGTAGATTATTATGGAAACACCGATGTCTAACAAAATAACTTTGAATTTGTTATTCTGCGCGGGTAACAATCGAGTCTATCAGTCGATTATGAATTTTTTTAAAATATTTTTTGTTAAGAAGAGATCAATGACATCTGTGGTTCACTCCATGGTACATGTACCTGAATCACTCAAAAATTTTGGTCCTCTTCAAAATTACTCAACTTTCAATTTTGAAAGTGTAATCGGTATGTTTCACAAATATATAGTAAATCGTTTTAATTAGACCACCTACCTGATGCTCAATACTCTAGGTTCTATTGTTCAATCCGTCAATGGTCCCAATTTAGTGATTTCTGAATTGACCAATAATATCAATATTCTCCAGAGTGCTACTGTACAACTTAATGATGTCAATTTCAGTACTTCTATTAGATTATTCATATCCCGTATATTTTCTTCCAAACGACAAGCACTGCCAAAGCAAACATCTAAAGCAGCACGTAAATCAATTCGTCTGGGTCCAAAGATTGAGTTATCCTACAATCATGTGGTGATGAATCATTTAAGAGCCATCTATTCTCTACCTTTTGATATTCACGAAACA